CCCCTCCATTCAGTCCCCTATAATCAAAAGTACCTCTAATCTTCCCTAGCCGCCCCTGCTTATTGTGTATTAGCATCCACATGTCAGTGAAAACATTTAGGCTTTGGTTCTTTAGGACTGGCATATTTCACTTAGCATTGGAGTCTCAGCTGCATCCATTTACTGATAAATGCCTTAATTTCGTTCTTCTTTAAGGCTGAATAATATTCCATTGTGTTTATATACCACAGTTTCTTGTCAATTCATCTTTTGATGGACACCTAGGTTAGTTCCATAGCTTGGTTATTGTCAATTGAGCTGCTGTAAACGTTGATGTGGCTGTATCACTATAGTATGCTGATTTTAAATTCTTTTCATATAAACTGAGGAGTATGATAAAATGATGGTTCCACTCCCAGTTTTTCTGAGGATTCTCCATACTAATTTCCATATTGACTGCAACAATTTTTAGTCCCACCAAAAGTATATGATTGTATCATTTTCCCCACATCTTTGCCAACATTTATTGTTGCTTGCATTCTGTATAATTGCCATTCTTACTGGAGTGAGATGAAATCTTAGAGTAGTTTTGATTTTCATTCCTCTAATTGCTAGAGGTGTTTAACATTTCTTTATGTGTTTGTTGATAGATTGTAATTTTTATTCTCTAAAGTGTCTGTTCAGTTCCTTAGCCCATTTATTGATTGGGTTATTTTGTTGTTGATTTTTTTAAGCTTTTTGAGTTCTTTATATATCCTGGAGATTAATGCTCTAGCTAATGTGCAGGTGGTAGATTTTCTCCCATTCTGAAGGCTCTCTCTTGCCATTATTAATCATTCCCTTTGCTGAGAAGAAGCCTTTTAGTTTGAATCCATCTCATTTATTAATTCTTGATTTTAATTCTTGAGCTTTAGAAGTGTTGTTGAGGAAATTAGTTCCTAAGCCAGCATGGTGAAGATTTGGGCCTACTTTTCCTTCTATTAGAGGAAGAGTCTCTGGTTTAATTCCTAGGTTCTTGATTCACTTTAAGTTGATTTTTGTGCAGGGTGAGAGATAGAGGTTTAATTTCATTTTGCTACATATGGATTTCCACTTTTGCCAGTACCATTTGTTGAATAGACTATCTTTTCTCCAGTGAATGTGCTTGGCACCCTTGTCTAGTATTAGATAACTGCATTTATGTGGGTTTGTGTCTGTGTCTTTGATCCTGCTTCACTGTTCTACATGTCTGTTTTGGTGCCCATGCCATGACATTTTTTTTGCTGTAGCTCTGTAATATAAGCTTAAGGTCTGGTATTGTGATGCCTTCCATTTCAATTTTCTTTCTAAGGATTATGTTTGTTCTTTTCTCTTATTTTTTCAAATGAATTTTATTTTATTTTTTTTCAAAGAGAGAGAGAGAGAGAGAGAGAGAGAGAGAGAGAGAGAGAGAATTTTTAAATATTTATTTTTCAGTTTTTCGGGGGACACAACATCTCTGTCTGTATGTGGTGCTGAGGACCGAACCCGGGCCGCACGCATGCCAGGCGAGAGCGCTACCGCTTGAGCCACATCCCCAGCCCCTCAAATGAATTTTATGATGGCTTTTTCTACTTATATGAAGAATATCACTGGGATTTTGATAGGAATCACTTTAAATCTTTATAGCACTTTTGGTAATATGGACATTTTGACAGTACTAATTCCACCTATCCAGGAGCATGGGAGATCTTTCCATCTTCTAAGGTCTTCTTAAATTTCTTTCTTTAGTGTTCTATAGTTTTCATTGTAGAATTCCTTCACCTCTTTTTTAAGACTGATTCTCAAGTATTTTATTTTTAGCAGGGGCTATTATGAATGGAGTAGCTTTTCTAATTTCTAAAAAAAAAAAAAACAAAAAAAAAACTTGTGATTCAATCTAGCAAAAGTGGTGAATGACCTCTATAATGAATGCCTTTTTTAAAAATCTCGAGATTCACAGGTATCATTAATTCTGGAAAATTTTCTGTCAAATTTCTTTAAATATATCCTCTAAGTATTATGTATTTTGTCTCTTTATGAAATCCTTATTGTACTTATAATGGGATTCCCAATAATCTTTTTATTTCAATTTATTTTTTTCTTTGGTATGGAATTTAACTCAGGGGCAGACTACAACTGAGTTACATTTTCACTTTATTTCTTTTGAGACAGGATCTCACTCAGTTGCCCATGCTCCTCAAATGTGCAAACCTGCTACCTCAGTGTCCAGAGTGGCTAGGATTAATGGCAGGACTACCTCACCTAACTAAGCTTCATATCTTTTGATACCTTTTCATTTTCAATAGGTTTTTATCTTGTATTACATTAGAAGAAACTTTTCAGATCATCTGCTTCAGAAATATTTCAAGTTTATTTTACTCTTTCTTGTTTAATTTACTTTTTTTGAATTTTTTAATATAATCATGGCAATAAGAGTTATTTTCAAGGTTAAATTTGCTTTACAAATAAACATGGTATTTTATTTTTTTAAAGGATGTCTTTTTCTTTTTTGGTATGATTTCTTTTCATAACATTAAACATTTCAAATGTAATTTCCTTCCTGTGAGATTTTTTTTTAGGGGGAAATAAAATATTTGTTTTGTCTGACAACCTCCATTCATGTTAGATTATATTTTAGCTTTTTTCCTCTATATTTGCACTGTGGCCTAATGCTAAGAAAGGCTTTCTGTATGGGTATTCTTCACAGTTTGTTTGAGGGAGTTCTCTTGATGAGCTTTGCTTTAAATTTCATCAAATATCATAGAAATATTGCAAATTTATTTTTTTTATTTTACTACATATTTTGTCCCAATATTATGTAAGTAGTTATTTCAAAACCCAATACTCAGAAAAGTTATTTGTAATTTTCAGAATGAGAGAAACAGAAGAAAAAGCAAAGCGGATCAACATTGAATAAGTTGATAGACAAATTTCCTTTCCTATGTAATTGGGTGATGTTTTTCTATTTCATTCTGTCACAGAATGGGTATGCAAGAAACCTCCTTTCCAACTGTGTCCTAAGAACTTAACTTCAGATTCAAGAGACCAAAACAGCCCAACCCCTCGTGAACCCGGGTATGACAATATCTTTCATACACTGGTATCAAATCCTATTAGCCCCTCCAGATTTACATTATTCTTTGCTTTGTTCCCAAGAGGACTCCCTTATTTCATCCTAAATGTAGCTCTATATTTAAAAGAGATTAAAATATCATCTCACATTTCCAGGAGTTTTCTACTGGCATGTCTTATAAGTTATGTAGTGGGCCATCTGACAAAAATATCATCCCTGTGTCTTCTCTATTTACACAGAGGATTCCAAGAGCCATGCAATAAATTAACATTCTAGGTTTGGAAAGTGAGTCAAGGAGGAAGGATGGAGGTTAGACTGAACTGAGAGGAGGGAGTGAGAGAGCAGAGATGAGGCCCTGGGAGCTGAGGGAAAAGCTAATTGAAGAAGGACACTGTAAACCTGGGGGAGTGGGAAGGGAGGAGGGAGGAGCAGAGTGGGGAAGAGGACACATGGGTGGGAGGAGAGGGGAGCACAGCACGTCACAAAGAACATCAGAGCCACAAGGGATACCTGCTGATACCCCATTCTCTTTAGTCCTTTTTTTTTTTTTTTTTTTTTTTTAAATTTTTTATTGTGGGTTGTTCAAAACATTACAAATTTCTTGACATATCATATTCCACACTTTGATTCAAGTGGGTTATGAACTCCCACCTTCACCCCATACACAGATTGCAGAATCACATCAGTTACACATCCATTGATTTACAAATTGCCATACTAGTGTCTGTTGTGCTTTAGTCCTTTTACATCTAAGGACACTGAGGCCAGAGTAACACAAGGTCTTTGCAATTCAATGCAGGTGTCCCATCAGGAGATCACCCTGACTGTCAACCTGAAGCTCCTTTCACTACAAGAAATTCACTGTGTAGTTGCAAAACCACACAGGCCACATGCAGGGAGCCAGCAAGGGGAGACAAACCAGAGGAAGTGTGGGAGGGGAAGAAGGAGCCAGTGCAGGCAGGAAGTCATGACTGGCATGTGGGTTTCTCTGGGAGGGAAATTGAGGTTGGTGTTGGTGAGGTGGGAAGTCAGAGGGCTGAGTGAGATCATGTGGGACGAGCAGCTCACATCTGAGTTCTGGGCAAAGCTGGGTGTGGAAGGAGAAATTCAGGAGTCGTGGTGGTGTGCAGGGGAGCAATGTCTAGCATGTTAGGAAGAACACAAGCATGCTTGTAGCCTAAGCAGCAATGATTCACGAACAGAAATTCAAAAGAAATGCATCCTGGATGAATTTAGGGTGGCTGGGATGCCTTGGATGGCTGAATTCTAATCAGCATATATGTTACTCACGCTGGCTTTTCCCCATGTTTTCCTGTGACCTGGGGGCACATAATTTTCTGGTTCTGGTCACTTCCCACCTATTTTGTCTTCTGACTTTTTCTACATTGTTGTTCTTTCTCAGCTCCCCCAGCGCTCAGCCTCCCCCAGGCAGTTCCCAATGGTCTCATCCTTTCCTGTCTCCTCCTCAGACCTTGTCTTTCACCCTCCACAGCTAAGAGTTCACTCAGGGGTGCAGTGGACTGGGGAGCTGCAGATCCTCAGTGGGACTCTGACCCAAGCACCAGCTGCTACCTGTATTCCTGACCAGAAGCCAGCCTACCAGAGGAAGATTGAGGGAAAGGTACTTGGGGTTTTTCTTTATTTCTTTTTATAATTTACTCCCTTCATTCTTCTACTGTTATGGTTTACATATTAGGAGCCCTCCAATTGCTCATGTATGAGACAATGAAAGAAGGGTTCAATGTGAAATGATTGAGAGCCTTAGCCCAATCAGGAAATAAATTCCCCTGATAGGGATTAACTGAGAGATGAGTGCAGGCTGATAACATGTGGCTGGGGAGGTGGGATCCTGGGACTGTTCCTTTGGGGTATATATTTTGTCCTTGATGAGTCCAGCTCTCTCTCTTCTTCTTGGTAGCCATGTCCAGACCTGCTTTCCTCTGCCACAATGTTCTGCCTCACCTTGGGCCCTGAGATCTGGAGTTGGCCATCTATGGGCTGAGAGCTCTGAAACCCTGAGAAATACAGGTGAAAGAGGACACTTGGAGGGGAAGGGATGGAAAAACAGCAAGTCACACAGAACATCAGAGTCACAAGGGTTAATAGCTAATATTTAGTTCTCTCTAGTCATTTTAAATACAGGGACACTGAGGCCAGGGTAACTCAATGCAGGTGTCTCATTTAGGAGATCACCATGAAGTTCAGTCTGAATATCCTTTTACTGCAAGAAATTTTCTGTGAAAGAAAAAAAAAAAAAAAAAGGCCCTATGTAGGGAAGGGCAAGGGAGAAAGTTGAGGAAGTGTGGGAGGGGAAAGGAGAAGCCCAGTACAGGCAGGAAGGGTGACAGGAAAGTGAAGAACTGGGAGATAGGCTAGGAAGAAATGAAAGAGGGAGACCAGGCAGAGAAACACATGAGAGTTTACTTGTCAGAGCTGACCAATAAAGGCCACCTCTCCATAGACAAAGAGTGGCAATACAGGTCTGAATTTGGGGACTGTTTTGTGCCAGGCTCAGGAATCAGAGCCTGGTGGGTCCTAATGTAGGTGGTTTAAGGGAGGGGTTGGTATGAGAGAGTGGTGACACACCCTTGGGCAGAAAAGAATGTGGGCAGTGAAAGGTGAGCCTACATCAATCTTCTGTAGCTTCCTCTTACTGAGAAGAAACAGAGTCTGAACCCTTGTTATGGGTTGAGGCATTGGTGAAGGTCAGGAGGTGCCTAGTGATGTTGACTCTTGATGGCCCAATTTTGGTGAGGGGTTGAAAGTCCTATAACAGAAGCTGGTTCATGGTTTGGTTAGAAATCCTTTGAATGTGGTCTTGAATAACCCTAATGATGCAGGGGGAAAAGTATTAACAGAAGGTCTATGGCAAGGAGAGAGGTCAGGAAATAAAGTGCCCACTGTAGAAGAGGGTTACTTAGCTGCCATTCTTCAGCAGAGCAGAGCTGTTGTTTCAGGTGTTCAAGATCCTGTTGGAGTTGTTTTATCTTGTCCTTTATTATACCAGACTGATTGACATACAAATAGCCCTCCAGACAAAGTCTTCCTTTTTCAGCAATAAGAAGATCAAGGCCCCTTTGATTCTGCAGAAGCTAATGAATGAAGCTGGGATTGTATGGTTAGAATGAGGGAGGAGGGCAAACACAAAAAAGGGAAGGAGGGCACTCATGGCTCTGCAGTGTCCTCGTGGCTCTCAGAGATTGAAGGAAGATTGGGGGTTCTGGCCTTGGAGAAATTCAGCTTGAGAGGACCTGCGGGTGTCATTGTGTAAAGGGCAGAGAAAACCATTTAAAATGGAAATTATGAACCCAATATGAGATGCTCTCAAGGTGGGATGCCAAGGGAGTGGTAAGAATGACCTGATAAGGTCCAGTCCATTTTGTAAAGAGTTGAGAGGAGGAGGAGGGAGGGCCTGCTGAAGGGTGAAAAGGTACCAGGGCACCAGGAGACACAGTGGGAGAAGGGGAAGAGGCAGAACTAGGCTTTTCCAGAACAGCATCACTGTATTGACAAAGAAAGTTCTTAATGTATGCAAGAATGGGACAGAAAAGATGAGAAAATAGAGGTAGTGGAGAATCAGAGGGTGGTGAGCTGAGCAGGAAGGTAGGCCATCCATATAGAAGCTGAAAAGGGGAGGTGTTGAGTGGCTTCTTTGGAGGGCCTGTAATCTAAGAAAGGCCAAGGGAAGGAGTTTAGTCCAATCTAAATGTCCTCCTTACCAGAGGACTGGGGATGGTAAGGGATATAAAAATGCCAGGAGATGTTGAGAGCCTTAGCTACAGACTTTGAGACCTGGGAAGTATTAGACTGGAGTGGAGTGGGGAGGCTCAATAAAGAGAAGACACGTAGGTGGAGATTGAAGGTGGGATTTTGGATTGGGAGTTCCCCATGGTGAGTTGGCATGTTGGAGTGGCTACAGGTAGTTGTTCCCATCTCTAGGCCAAACCAGAGTAGGGGGCAGAAGCTATAGAGGGGACAGGAGTGAAAAGTGGTCATCACCACAGGATTCACTGTCCCCAGGGCTGAAGCCTTGCGGGGACTGAGAGACAGGGGTCATCACCTCCTACTTCCATAGTCCCAGGCTTTGCCCAGTAGAGTGTCTTGGTTGCCTGGCCAGGGCTTGCATGAGCTCGGCTGAGGAGCTGAGAACCAAGACCAGAGATTGAACTTGCCAAAGGGAAGGGATGGAAGAGAAGCCACCCATGGTCAGATGTCAGGGGCAGCACCTGTAGAGGCACTTGGGTGTATGGAAGGGCAAGAAGAGTCACTTGGTCACCAGGCCTGGAAGAAGGCATAGGGAGAAGAAACCAGGAACAAGTCCCAGTAAAAGCCCAGGGTGAATGGAAGAAGATATGTGATGATTATCCTGGGCCCTCAGGCCAGGGTCCCAAAGCAGCTCAAATCCCCAGAGGCAAGACCAATGGGAGGGCCTGGGCCTGGATACCAATGAAAGAAAGGTGGCTAGAACTAATCACACATATACCTGGGCTAAGCAGAAGTCTGAGGGGCTGCTCTATGCAGAGGAAGGGAAAGCAAGGCGAATGAGTAGGTCTAAGGAATCCCTTTTGCTAGAGGGCTTCAATGATAGGCTGTCAGGGTAGGAGTGTTTGTCCTGAGAGTGGGTATTGTGATTGGGCCAGAAAACGGAAGGGGTTTTTGAGACGGATGTGAATGGGCTCATGGTGCCAGGCAATATAAGGACTTGAGACATCCCAGACAGTAGGGTCCACCTTGGCAGGGGGTAATGGGAAGGCACTGGCAGATGGAACACAGGGTTTGTTCCAAGGTAAGAGTGAGGATCAAGGGAGCAGCAGGTGTGTCTAGATGGAAGCATATATGAGGGGAGAAGGAAAGTGTGGTTCCAAACTTTGTGAGGATGTCCCTTCCCATAATAGGGACAGGGCACCATGGAATGACCAAAATGGAGTGAGTAAAAGCTAGAGAACCAAAGGCACAAACAAGGCTAGATGTTTTCATGGCTGGTAAGATTTCATAGGATGAGTGGTAGGCCCCCAGAACTCCTTGAAGACTGAATATGTAGCCCCTGTGTCTAGGTGGAAGGATACAGGCCTACCTGAAAGAGGCTAAGTTCCCACAAAGTAATGGTAGTGGTCCGGTGGTGGAGACCTGGGCCTCATCTGTCCTCTGTAGCCAGTCCCATGAGTTTGAAAGGGGAACCAGAAAGGCTGGATGGCTGGGGCCTGCTGTGAGCTCAGGGACAGTCAGCAACCCAGTGTTCCTTCTGATGGCATTTAGGACAAGGGCCCTAGAGGCTTGGGACATGAAAGAGCCCAGTGACCCATCTGACCACACCTCTAACAGGGTTAGGGTGGTCCTGAGGGAACCTTTTATGGCCCAGTGGAACCAGGGAAAGATGCTGAGGCTGTACAATGGCTTGAGCAAGCATGTGATATTTCTGCTTCTGGGCCTTCTCATCTCTCTGTTACACCTTAAAAGTTACTTTCAGAACTTCAGCTTGGGGAGTTATGGGACCCCTCTCAAGGTGCCCTAGTTTGGTCTTAATATTGGGGAAACTCTTGGGAAAAAAGTAGGTCTCCCATCTGGAGTCTCAGGGTCAAGATTAATGTACTGTAATAAAGTCTTGGTCAGGTGATCTCAAAGTGCTGAAGGGTTTTCCTTCATCAGCATAATTTCTAGCTTGCTCCCAAACCCGCCTGTACTTCTCACTCAGGAGGGTGTTAGACAAGATAGGACCCAAGCAGGTTTTCCATCTGTGAAAGATCTGACAAAGAGAAAGGCACATGAACCTGGATTACACCATCTCCTCCAGCCACCTTGCATAGAGGACTCAGAGATGCAGGTTGGGCAGTGGCACCCCATGAGCATGTGATGCAGCAGAAGGAGAGAAGGGTGAAGGGACTGAGGGGACAGTTGCTGAAGAGGCTTCATTAGACAGAGAGGGGAGGTTAGAGCTAAGCAGACTTGTGTGGGAGAGCAAGAGTTGCAGAGAGAGGGCTTAGAGAGAGGAGAAAGCCTGAATGTATGATCTCTTTCCATTTTCCCTAACACTCACAATAGTTGAAAAGATCCTGGATAACATTGGGATCTAGAGTGCCATTAAGTTGCCATTTAGAGTTGTTATCCAAAGGATATTGAGGCCAGATATGATTGCACAAATGAATACGTTTTGGGGAGCTTAATTCTGGGGTGAGAAAGAGAGTCCCTAGGATAGCCAGGAGGCAGCCTGAGAGACTATGGAAAGGAATGGATGAGGAGCTGACCTTGGTGAGATGTAACCCAAGGCTGAGAGGTCTCACCAGGAACAACTCCCAGACACCCTTGGTGGTTTTTTCTCAAAACCCAGGACCCAAATGAAAGAACACCTGTAGACCTGGTCGACAGTAGGGATCAGCCATAGCTTTGAAAACATGGCTGGGGATCCCCCCAACCACACGGTAACTCTGGGAGTGCCAGACAATCAATGGTCACTTTATGGGACCTATAGGTCATTTAAGTCAGAGACAGGGGTCTTACCTGAAATGTCTGGTGGTGGGTGCAGAGAGGGCATTGGGCAGAATGGAGGGCCTGGTTTCACAATGGTGTTGGGATCAGGGCCTGGGGATGCTCTGTGACCCTCAAAGAGGGGAGCGAGCACACTGAGGAACCTGATCCTGGATTTTGGAAATAATGAAAGGAAAGTGAGGAACCAGGAGACAGGGGAGCAAGAAATGAAAGACGGAGACCAGGTAAAGATACACAGGAGAGTTTATTTGTCAGAGTTGACAAATAAAGGCCATCTCTCCATAAAAGAGTGAGGCAATACAGGCTTGGGGTTCAAGAGTTTTATGGGGGAGGCTCAGGGGTTAGAGCCAGGTGGGTTCTAATGTGGACAATTAAGGGTGGGGTTGGTGTGAGGGATTGGTGAACTTTTCCTGGAAAGGCCCTTGGATGGAAAAATGGTGGCTGTCACTTAAGATGGCTGCCCAGATGCTAAGCAATGACCATACAAAGGGTATGACAGAAAGGGGGTTTCTCAGGAGGGAAGCTGAGGTGGGTGTTGATGAGGTGGGAGCAGACAGATGGCAAAGTGAGATTGTGTGGGGAGGGGAGTTCATGTCTCGGTCTGAGGAAAGCTATGTGGGAAAGGAGAAAATCAGGAGGTTTGGTGGCATAAAGGGGAGAAACCATGAGACATTTTAGAAAGAACATAAGCATATTTGTTCCCTAAGCAATGATGATTCAAGAAGAAGAATCCTGAGGGAAGGGCTTGTGACAAAAGGAAGAATCCTGGATGCCCCTGGGATAGCTGAATCACCCCACCCGGCTGAGTTCTATTTGGCATGTGTCCCAACCACCTGGATTTTTCTCATCTTTTCCTGTGACCAGTGAGCACACCACTATCAGTGATCTTTATAACATCTCCTCTGCCAAAGGTGTTCTCTTTCATTTTGGTCCTGGTCACTTCCCACCTATTTTGTCTCTTGACTCTTTCCTACAGTGTTGCTCTCTCAGCTCCCCCAGCTCTCAGCACCCCCCAGGCAGCTCCCAATGGTCTCCATCCTTTCCTATCTCCTCCTCGGACCTTGTCTTTCACCCTCCACAGCTGAGAGCTCACTCAGGGGTGCAGTGGACTGGGGAGCTGCAGATCCTCAGTGGGACTCTGACCCAAGCACCAGCTGCTACCTGCATCCTCACCAGGAGCAACTCTGCCAGAGGACAGTCAAGGGGAAAGTTACTTTGAATTCTTCTACCCCTCCACTAGTTTAGGTATGAGGTGTCCCCCAAATGCTCATGTGTGAGACAGTACAAGAAGGTTTGGAGGTGAAATGACTGGGTCATGAGAGCCTTAACCCAATTAGTGCATAAATCCTCAGATAGGGACTAACTGAGTATATCTGGTGTGGCTGGGGAGGTGGGTTCCTGGGGATGTGACTTTGGGGTATATATTGTGTCCTTGATGAGTGGAGCTCTCTCTCTCTCTGCTTCTTGGTGGCCATGTCTAGACCTGCTTTCCCCAGCCACACTCTTCTGCCATGATGTCCTGTCTCACCTTGGGCCCTGAGGAGTGAAGGGGGCCATCTATGGACTAAGAGCTCTGAAACAGAGACCCAAAATAAACTTTTTCTACTTAAAATTGTTTTTTTTTTCAGGTCCTTTGGTCACAGAAGCAAAATGCTCACTAACCTCTTCCTCCCTCTCCTGCTTCTGTAATATCCTTTGTTTCTCTTATCAGTTCACTACATTTTGGTCCCAGAACCTCATTCCTTATTTAGTTAATTTTCTTCCGTCTCTTTTCTACTCTAAACCACCTGTCTTCTCCTTGTTTTCCCCACTTTACACTCAAGTGCAGCAATCATATATTTTGTAAGATCCATGGAAAAATGAAAATGTGGAGACTTGTCCTATTCATTCTGGCTGCTATCACAGCATGCTGGGTGGTTTATAACCACTATAAAATTATTTTTCTGGAGTCTGAACAGTTCACGATCAAGGTAGATTTTGTTTGTAAAGGGTCCTGCATTTTGGTTCATCAAAGGCTCCTTCAGAATATTTTTTCCATGGTGGAAGGGCAATTTGGTCTCTCTGGGTGTCCTTATTATAAAGTATTAATCTCATTTCTGAAGTTGAAACTGCATGACTTAATTGCCTCTCAAAGGCCCACCTCCTAATACCATAACATGGGTGGTTAGGATTCCAATATATGAATTTGGGGAAGACATAAATATTCAGATCATAGCAGGTTTGTGCTCAAAAGGTAGGGGTGGGAGTGCTCTTAAAGGTACTAACATACAAAACTTCTTTATTTCTATGGAAGGTTATGTCTCTGTGTTTTAATTTAGTTTCCCAATGTTGCATCCCTTGGGCACAGAGATACTCTCAGGATGGTTGGAGGAACTCTTACCACCTGGGGGCTCCACTCCATGACATTAGACAAGCTATGCATTGGCTGCCTGGTTCCTGCTGCCCCAGCTATTCTAATTGCCTGTGCTGGACTGAAGGGTGAAGTTAATCTCCCTTTTCCCAAATGGTCACCCCAACACTTTGCACATGGGTAACCACTGATAAATTGGAACCAAATTACATGGAGATGCATGTGATAGTTGGAACAAGAGTGGGCAAGTGGCTCACCCTGACCAGTTACAAAACAATTTGGTGCAGACATTGGATGGGACAGCTGCGCCTAAGTTCTGCCCACACTTTTAGGTGTATGTCCCCTTCTCCCATTGTGCCTGCAAGGCATAAAATAGTGGCAGAGGTTGATGACAGAAGGGGCCTTCAGGGAAACATGGTCAGTGCAGTGGTGGCAGGATGGAGTTGGATAGAAAGACTCTAGAGTTGCCAACGTCTGAGATAGTGGGGAGCAGGTGGAGGAGTGCTGAGCATGCAGGTGAGGTTGTGGGAGGAAGAACCCTTCATAAGCTGGGGAGGCAACTATGAGTCCCATGCAAAGTTCATTGAAACCCATATTCAAAAAAATTACTATAAAATTCAAGGTGGTGATCACAGAGAATTAAATGTGTTACTACATTGGCTGAATGTCCCATGGGACCAGCCTTGGATACATGATCCACAGACTCAGTAGGTGATACTATTTCAGAGGACAAACATAGGGGCTTCTGAAAAATGAAATAAAGAACCGTGATGTCAGAGATATGAATGAGGTGGAGTGGGGGATGGGGTAGGGAAGAGAACACATGGGGAATAATTCAAAGTTGTTACAATAAGAGAAACGCTTAAGATTCTGGGTTCTATACCCAGCAATAAAAGCAGTGTTCCTAGTAGTCAGGGACTTTTCAGAGTCACATGTGACTTGTTCCATAGCAGTTGAAATAGGGGAAGATGACCAGGATGGAAGTTTGTAACAATGAGAGTAGTTTGAAGACTGGGAAGAGTGTCAGAATAGCAGGGGAAATGGGAAACTGAGTAGGTGCTCAGGGTTTTGGGAGGGAGCAGATTGTCTTTTTTTCAGGCAGAAAAGTTTTGTGTTTTTGTTGAATAAGGAAGTCAGAAGAGAGGTCTGTGGGGAGGTTTATTTAGAACAGAAATCAAAGAACGACTTCTCTGAGAGAAAGAAGTAGCATCTGCAAGAGCCATGCTGTTTCTGCTACTCCCATTGCTCACTGTTCTCTTCCCAGGAGGGGACAGTGAAGGTGGTAAGAACTGGGGCATCTGACCAGAAGGGTGTGTGTGTGTGTGTGTGTGTGTGTGTGTGTGTGTGTGGTGATGGTAGTTTATCCTGGACATACCTGGAGACAACCAAGCTGGCCCCATTCTATATGTCCTTACTCAAGCCCTGGGTGCTCTCATGGAGGCTGTGGATAGAGCATGGTACCCTGGGGGCCAGCAGATGTCAGCTAAGGTAACGGTGGCTCTCCACTTTTCCAGATTCCAAGTCTTCCCGCTCTGACACCTACTTTCCTAAGTCTCTCCCTCCCAATGTTTCATTTCTCCCTATTCTATCCATTTTTTTTTTTTGCCACAGGGTTTGAGGAGCCTGTCTCCTTTTATCTCATGCAGACGTCATCCTTTCACAACCATTCCTGGGTACATGTGGGCTCAGGCTGGTTGGGGGAGCTGCAGACTCACAGATGGAACAGCAGCTCGGGTACCATCATTTTCCTGTATCCCTGGTCCAGGGGCAACATCAGTAATAAGGAGTGGATGGATCTGGAAAGGTTGTACCAGTCATACTTTATTGAACATCAAGGATTTTACCTTTCTCAATTAATGTTTAAAGGTGAGTTTAATTTCCTTGCTGGGGAGAATAAAGGGATGAGGGGTGGGCATCTCAGTGACCGTTCATTCCTCAGGGAAACAGCCTACTCAGCTCTGAAACTTATTCTACTCTCTTCAGCATAAAACTGCAATCACACCCTGGGCACGTGTGATAAATAGAGCCAGATTCTTCAAAAACTTCAGGGTCTTTTTGCCACTGTGACCTGCTCTCTGATTGCCTGCAGGGCTGTGTTTCATTATCTCCCCTCAGAGGCATCCTGTGGCCACCCTTTTCCCCAGTCTTTCGTCAGGTGTCTTCAGCTTCCTCGGTCTTCGGCTGACTCCTTTAAGTGTGATTTTCTCTCCCATTTAATCTCTTCACTCATCCTTGTGTAAACTGTAGTCGTGACCATGGTTACATTCATCCTGGTTAATTAGAGTCTCACCTCTCTCACATTAAGTCCTTCACCCCCCACACCATCCCTATCACATTTGAACAATTCCCTCCCTTCCTCATCTTATCATCTCTTCCTCTACCTCCAGCTCCTACCAGTTCCTCTTTCTGTGAACCTCTGGTCAAACCACACTTGGGTCTTTTCTCTTAAACTCCAAGCACTCCCTTTTGCTTTTATTGTCTTTTGTTCTCATCTCATCCCAATTTGTACCTTTTCTTTCTTTTCTCCTCTAATTCATGACTCTTCTTCCCCAGATCCCTTTGATATACAGATGGCAGCAGGCTGTGAACGGCACTCTGGGAAGGGCTTCCTAGGCTTGAAGCATGTAGCTATCCAAGGACATGACTTCATGAGCTTCCAGAATAAAACATGGTCACCATCTCCCAAGGGTGGAATAAAGGCCCAGAAAGCCTGCAATATACTCAATCTGAACCAAGTCCTTACACATATGGCACATAGGCTCCTCAGTGACACCTGCCCCCGTTTCACCTTGGGTCTTCTTGATGCAGGGAAGGCTCATCTCCAACGACAAGGTCAGTCTTGTAGCCCATCTCTAAGAATTTTTCTATTTTAAAGTCAAATTCAGGATAAAAAGGATACCAAGTGACATTTACAAAAGGGGGGAAATATACCTATGTAGTCTCATGTGGAGTTCTGAACCTCTCAGTGTATGTTAGAGTCTGTGTCTGGATGTGTTTTCTGTCCTTTGCAGTGAAGCCTGAGGCCTGGCTGTCCAGTGGCCCCAGTCCTGGGCCTGGCCGTCTGCTGCTGGTGTGCCATGTGTCTGGCTTCTACCCAAAGCCCATGTGGGTGATGTGGATGCGAGGGGAGCAGGAGCAGCAGGGCACTCAGAGAGGTGACATCCTGCCCAATGCAGATGGGACATGGCATCTCCAAGCAACCCTGGATGTGGCAGCTGGGGAGGCGGCTGGCCTGGCCTGCAGGGTGAAGCACAGCAGCCTAGGAGGGCAGGACCTTGTCCTCTACTGGGGTGAGAAAGGGCTGGGGCCCAACTGGAAATGGGTGGCTTTCTTCTAGCAGTTCATGAACGCCAGGTAAAAAAATGGAATTTACAAATTCCCAATCAAAAAAGAAACAAAAAAATGTATGTAATTCAAAGAATGAAAGAATTTAAAATAAAGGATCTGTAGATTAAATTTGAAACAACATCCTGGTGTCCACTTGAATCTGCAGCACCTCATAGTGCCCTGGGCTGGATCCTCTTGGTGGTGATAGTGGCCCTGGCTCTTCTGATAGGTCTTGGATTTTGGTTTAGGAAACGCTGGTGAGTTCTTTGTATCCATCTGTCCTGTTTGTCCCTCCTCCCCAACGGTCTTCCCTTCTTTTTTTGACTTTTTCTTCTTCTCTCAGCCCCATTTCTATTTTCTCCTCCATTCTCACCTCCACCTTATTAAGGTCTGTTATTTTTTGTTTACTTAGGACCCACTGTGAAGCTCTCTGCATTTTTGGCCCTCTGAAGTGAGGACCCAGCTACCCAGGTGACCAGTCTACACCTGAACACCACAGGGTGATGACATCACTTCAACTCATCTTGATAAAACTTTCCATTCATTTCTGCTCCTTGATCATTTACCAAAATATGCTCAATGTAATCTTACAGGATTTGTAGTTCTGACGTGGCTTCTGTGGCTTCAACTCTGAATGGAACAGGATGTCAGCAGTGTCAGCCTGGTTAGATAAAATGGATCATCAGATGCATTTCAGCTGTCATATCCTCCAGGGGTCCTTTCTTAATCCACAGTGGGAAGCCATCTCTCCTCCATCTGTACTTCCCGATTTCAACTGTGCCCTTCACTGCCTAGCATCTGTGGCAGGTGTGTAGGTTCATTTCTTCTTTTAAGTTTTTAAAGTTTAAAGCAAAGCACGTGCTTTTTGAGTATCTGAATCCCTGGTGAAATGTCTGGCCTTAATATAACATGTTTTCAATAAAACCTGTATTGAATTATGTAAGGCTTGTAGGTTTTGTTGTTGTTATTGTTTGTTTATTTTGTTTTTTTAAAATAATCTGCCTTCCTGACACCTGTGTTATAGCTGAGACATTTGATGCTCTTCTTGTTAAGTCTTGCTTTGGAAGGAGACTTCATGCATTCCTAGTTCTATTTTTTTTTTCTGAGTCTCTGAGGAGAAACACAATTTTGCCTCTTACCAATTCTGTTATTCAATTTTAGGGAAATATTAGCATAAAACTATTGTTCCAAGTGCTCTAAACCAAAAGAGCAGGGGAGGATGAAGGTCCTCCATATTCAGCGAACTTTATGATCAGCAGCAGATTCATTACTTGGGAGTTTGGTAGAAATGTAGGCTCTGTGGCCTGGTCTCATACTTACTAAATTCCAGTTTTCATTTCAACAAAATCATCAGATGATTCATAGATGCATTAAAAGTTGAGAGGGACAGCATGGTGGTGATACCTGAAATATGGCCCAAGGGCATCACTTAGGAGGGAATCAAAAATGAGGAATCAAAGTGCTGCTCTTGAGGACTTAAGTAGGTCCAGATGAGTGATACGCATTCTCAGGAGTTATGTTCTCTATACTTACAGCTGCAAACAGTGAACACTGAGCCATGCTCCTAAATAGAGGGTTAGTTTCTATTGAGTTTCTGTAAACAAAATTTTTGTTAATTGATGAATACATAACCTTGTTTTGTGTATTTTGTTTAAAAATCTTATTTAATATATTTACAAGTAATTCATTGTATCAAGTATATCTTTAAACAAAAACATTTGAGAAGTGTTTAACAATTTCCTAACCCTAATTAATGTGATTACAAATTTCCTAGGCTTTCAATCTTTCTACAATGCTGTCTACCATATGTAAAAAAAAAAAAATGCTTAGTGGGGATAGGAAGGGCAGCAGAATAGAATAGACCTTATGATTGCTATATGTATATAGGTGACTCTATGACCAGTGTGATTCTTTAATCTGTACAATTAGAAAAATGAGAAATTATACCCAAATGATTTAAATGTATGAAATGCCAATTTCATTGTAATGTCATGTGTAGCTAATAAAAAAAATAAAATTTAAAAAAATGCTGCATCTCAAGAAACCACAAATTTAATTATCATGGCTTTATCATAGCATTATAGATGTTACTTTACAAAGTAACTTCACCTACCAATCATCAAATTTTATCTTTCTTTTTCCCGTGCATTGTGTTTTTCATTAATATTGAACTCTCAGACATCAGCATTATACTATAACAATGCTGATCTAAAGCTGACCTTCTTACTCTGTTATACACATCACAGCCTTTTTCAGTTAAAGAACATTGGATAGCTCTCTAGAGACATGCTTTGGGCCACTTTAATTGACAATATCAGTGACAAATAGCACAAAGTGTGAAAAACATGGCACTCCCTAGGCCACACAAAGGATGCTTGTCCTGCAGTGAGAAGGGAAACCTGAAGACAGAGCTTCTCTTTTTTTGACTTTCATAGGGAATGTGTTCTTCATTTGACTCACATTTTGTACCACTCTGTACATATCTATGAATGACTGCAAAATCACTGTGAGTATTTAGTTTGGGGTTATAAAAGTTTCCACAGGTAGACAAAGTTAGAAATTTAGAAATCCTGACTAATGGGGATTGACTTATGACTACAACTGACAGTGAGAGTTAAGATATCCATGACCAGACTTTAGTTACTTTAAAATCCATAAACTGATGTAACAAACAGTTCTTAGGCAACTACTATGCACTTACTATGCAGCAGGTGCATATTGAGAATAATGTAATGGACAAAAAAAGTTCATCACTCTGTACTGAGCTTGAAAATTTTGCCTACCCAATTTGATTCCGCACTTTATTATTTTCATTGTTTCTTTGTTCTTAATTTCCTGGAAGGACTTGCTTGAAATAAATTTGGGGAAAAAGACTTAGTCTCATTTTGCTTAGGCTGCTGAGAAGAGGGAATCCAGGAATAGGGGAACATCTAGAGATACCATGTACAGGTGCCAGCACATGTAATAAATTTTCCCATGGATTTCCTCCTGAAAAATTCATCCCTGCATTCACTTGTCCATCCTTCATTTATCACACGTCTAGTTTTCACTATTTGTCTGGCAGACATATTTACTGAGAATTGTTCCAAAATGACATTAGGCTTGTTTAGATTACAAATGCAGTGTGCAGAACTTATTTAAAGCTGACCATAAATGGGAGAAATTCTGGAGGAAGTAGCCCAGATGCAGATGAAATCATCCATTTACAACAAAGTAATTCCATCTACAAAGATCCCTACACCAATGTATTTTACTTAAAAGTACTAAATTGGGTTTGCCTGTTCATCCCCAAACCCTTGTTTTGATGACTGCCATCCTATGATTACAATACAAGAGAAAAATTAGTAACAATGAGAAATATACAAGAATATACCATGCAGAATATTTAAGCATGTTTTCAGGGTTAAAGCCCTTCAATTCTTTAAGGATTTGATTAGCTAAAGAAGTAGGATCTGAAACATCAGTCTTACTCTTTTGTATATCTTGAGTATGATGATGGAGCTTCAAATGATCAAGCTGTTATTATTATTTTGCCAAATACCCAACAAATGATTTTTAATCTTCTCCCAATCCCATTGTGAAGCATTGTATTTGGCAGCAGTAACACACACATACTTATAACTAGTGTGACATTTAAGTCTTTCCTTGAATTTCAAAGCCAAAAGTTCGTTACTAATATTTATGATAGTAGCCTCTAAAGTATTTAGCTTAGTCTCAATCCTTTCATCAATATTAATTTTATTACGAAGAGCCTTGAAAGTATTTTGAGCCAAATTATTAAGAAAATTTGCATGTTGAATGTTTTGAGATATGGCCACCAAAGCTGTGACCATTGAAGCAATAAAAGAAACCAAGGCAACAACTCCTACTATTATGAGTTCAAGAGAACATTTAGATCTCGATAGCTGGGCATGTATTTGTTGTAAGACTTGAAAACCAGCATCAGCATACCACGGCTCTTAAATATTAGCTGGTAATAAGTCAAAAGGGGGCTGATGAAGCATCAGCATTCCTTTCCCTCTATTATGTCTGGTGATACAGTTAATTCAATTATACTTACTACTTGTTACAAGATATTTATTATTTTTCCTTTTAACTTTTACATTTCCAGTAATTAAAATGTAAGGAGATTGAACAAAAGCTCATAAGCCATAGCAAGAACCTTCCTTACAGTTCTTGCCTACAAAGTCTGGTAAAGATTTGTCAGTAAAATGTAAAAAATCTGAGGCAGCAATTCAGCACCAAACATCTTTCTGAATGCCCGCTTCACTGAAGGTCAAGATGTTGTTAACAAATCCTCCAGGAGTCATGGCAGTACTCTAGTGTAACTGTATTTTGTCAATTATAGGAGACCAGTCCAAAATATACCCAATTAGGCACCTTTTGTTGTATTGTAAAATATTTATACAATCCATCCACTTAGGAAAGGTACCAATTTCTATGCAGAATGGTTAGTACAATGAGGTATTTATGGACATTCTGCTGAGATGACTGGTTTGTTTTGAGAAAGTCCCATTTTAATAACTAATCTGATATAAGGTTTTGAGTCTCCAATAACAGTACAATTAGTTGGTCTAGGTCTCCCAATTGCTGGCTTTTCCTCAAGTGACACTCTTAGACAGCCAGCATGTTTATCATGGGACCAACACAAAGGTAATTGGGCACTATAGCCAGAATAATTAAATTCAGTCCCATAGTTGGGAGTAATACGGGTGTCTGTAAATCCTCCCATCATGAATGAGTCATTAGTAAATACTGGGAAGGATTCTCCAGTCCACACTGCTGGGTGTACTACAGGTGGATCTGGAAAATATATCCAATAAGTTTCTCCCTGATTCGCTTTTACCTGACAGCTCAATAGAGCTATTATTGCAGCAAGCATCATCATTGGAGATTTAACTTTTCTTTGCTATCAAATCATTTGTGCAGCCTGCAGCATCAATTTCTTCAGGTCCTTCAACGAGATTGGCTTCCTCATTCATTTTCTTGGGGCTTTGTTCTTCTCTTCTTTTGGGATTTCTTCCTTTTGAGGGAAGGCTTCTTTGGGTTGACCTTCAGTCATTTGAATCTTTGTTCTATTTCCTCTATGTCTGATTGCATGTTCAAGCACCCAAATAGGATGAAAAGCACCTTCTGGGAAAATACAAGCATGACCTCTGCCCCACATAATCACTGGATCTGGTTCTTTCCATTGACCAGTCTGTAAGTCCTTCCAACAACCTCAGCCTAAAGGGCCTGTTGCTGTGGAAGACATGTGTCACTCAGCTGCAGTGTGACCTTCTGAGTCACAATTTTAAAAAGTTAAAACAAACAGAAAATGATTGAGGTTTTTTGGGGGAGTCATAGTCCTATCTCTCCCTTTTAGTTTTTGTAATTGTAGCTTAATAGATAAATGAGCTCCTTCCACAATTGCTTGAACTTGGGGGTTATAAGGAATTCCTGTTTTATGGTCAAGTAGAAACTCTTGGTAAAATTGTTGAAAAGAAGAGCTTACATAAGCCAGCGCATTATCAGTTTTAATCTGTAAAGAACATCCTAATACTGCAAAGGCAGCTAAACAATGAGAAATAATATGCTGAGTATTTTCTTTTGCATTGGCTGTAGCAAAGATAAATCTAGAATAAGTGTCTACAATTATATGGAAATAACATTGTTTACCAAATTGAGGAATGTGACTTATATCCATTTGCCATAATTGATTTGGTTTTAATCCATGGGGATTTACCCCAGATGGTAAAGATGGAGTGTGTATAACACACTTGGGGCAGTGAAGTACAATTTGACGAGGTTGTTTTCTAATAATATTATTTTTTTTAATGTAAGCTAGATGCATTTTGATGATGTAAAGAATGTGAAGCTTGTGCACAGTCATACAAAGACATTTGCTGACAAACAACAACCAATTTATCAATCTTATCATTACCTGATGTTAGAGGCCCT